CCCCACCCCCCCCCCCCCCCCCCCCCCCCCCCTCCCTCCATGGCGTCTCGTAAGTTTCATCATCGTGGACGCGGAGCAGGTCCAACGTAAATCAGCAGCAGATTCTTACAGTGTGACATCATAACCACGATGTCGAGGCAGAGAAACTCTCCACCAACTCCCCCGTCTCGCATGTCCTCAATGTTCTCGCGTTTGCCCCAGACAGACTGTGTGGACCATAACCATCGGGGTCTTATATGTGTGTACACACACACACACACGTGTGGTCCAGATGGTGTTCAGTCCAGATGGTGTTCAGTCCAGATGGTGTTCAGTCCAGATGGTACGACTCGTCGGAACTGAAGATTCAACCAAGAAACAATATTTTATTTTCCTGGTCAACGACCAAACCCTACCTCCCCCTTCTTTCTCCCTCGTCTTCTGTCCACTTGTCCACCTGTCAAACACACACACACACACACACTTACTGGTTTTTGCACTGGATACAATGACTTCCCTGGCCTTTTACCCCAAACCTGCAGAAAAGTCCCCATAACTACAGCTTTACCAGGTGGACACACACACACACACGGACACACACACACACACACACACACACACACTGTCACATCTGCCAATTATGCCAATGTGCTTGTATCTTTCAACCACACGAGGCCAAACAAGGCCATAAGCAAACATCCTAAACCACACACACACGCACACACACACACACACACACACACACACTCATTCAGTCACTAATCACGTTGATAGATGCAGATCACACTCCACCATGACACGTGAATGTCAAAGCAATGAGACAATTGTACTCTCTCCGACAGAGGTTCACACACACACACACACACACACACACACACACGAACACACGAACACACACTCCAGCTTTCCACACCATTCATGGAAATGCGACTGTATCTCGCGGCTTTAGCGACTATTTATAGACAACAAGGTTCAACAGTGAAGACGTCGCTGTCTCTTTAACCACACACTCATCTGTGTGTGTGTGTGTGTGTTACAGAGTCAGTCACGTGACTGACCGAGGGTCGAGGTGAACGCTCAGGTTCACGTGCGTCGACCGCGAGGTGGAGACGCGGTCACACAGGAGACGGACTCGTGACTTTCTGGATTTTCATTTTCATTTGATTCCATTTTCAAATTCCATTCATTCAAAAAGTCACGAGTGAAGTGGACGACGTCAAGTGATCTTCATCGGTCAGGAGGAGAGAGTACACTGAACATCATCAGAGAGAGAGAGAGAGAGAGAGGGAGAGAGAGAGAGGGAGAGAAAGAGAGAGGGAGAGAGAGAGAGAGAGGGGGGAGAGAGACGTCCTGTGTTGAACAACACACACTGTCCTGACCTTCAGGTCACACGGCCCTGACCTTCAGGTCACATGGTCCTGAAGGTCACAAGGTCACAAACCTCATTCTTTGATAAGGATCTGTTCAAATGCTAACTATTAGTGGAATGTGAGCATCTGGGTGAGTTCATATTAGCATAGCATAGCATAGCATAGCATAGCATAGCATAGCATAGCATAACCTTATCGAGTTGGTGAGATTAGGCCACACAGACACACAAAGTCACCCATGTACAGACGGGTAACAGACAGACTGAGAACAGTCGTTGTTGGGCAAAGCAGTCATGCATCCATCCACCATCCATCCATCCACTAATCCATCCATCCACCCATCCAACTATCCTTCCATCTATCCACCCTTCATCCAAGCATCCACCGATCCATCCTTCGACTCATCCATCCACCCATCCATCCATCCTTCCACCCTTCATCCATCCTTCCATCCAACTATCAACCCATGCATGCATCCATCCATCCATTCACCCACTAATCCAACCATCCACCCATCCATCCTTCATCCATCCTTCCATCCAACTATCAACCCATGCATGCATCCATCCATTCACCCACTAATCCATCCATCCACCCTTCATCCAACCATCCAAATATCAACCCATCCTTCCATCCATCCATCCACCCATCCATCCATCCATCCATCCTTCATCCATCCATCCATCCATCCATCCACCCTTCACCCATCCGTCTGTCACAGCTGGTTCCTGACCTTGACAACCATCTCTGTGTCCCCTCCTCAGGCCTCGCCCCTGACCTGAGCCTTTCCTGTGGGGCAGAGTCTGTCCAACAGTTGATAGAGGACAGACTGTGCCACCTTTAGTGAGACGGTGGACGGCAGCAGCAACAACAGCAGCAGCAGTAACAGCAGCAGTAACAGCAGAAACAGCAGCAGTAACAGCAACAGTAACAGCAGCAGTAACAGCAGCAGTAGCAGCAGTAGCAGCAGTAACAGCAGTAACAGCAGCAGTAACAGCAGCAGTAACAGAGCACCAGCAGCAGCAGCAGCAGCAGCAGCAGTAACAGCAGCAGCAGCAGTAACAGCAGTAACAGCAGTAACAGCAGCAGTAACAGTGGAGGCCACCGGGGTCAGAACAGTGACCTTTGCAGTGATAAGCAGTGAGAAACGGTCGCGACAGGAACATGTGACATTAAAGGTGGTCACATTTGTCCTACCTTTGCTCCGGGACTGACTCAGCATTACAGTGTGTGTGTGTGTGTGAGTGTGTGTGTGTGTGTGTGTGTGTGTGTGTGGCTAATGTGTTATCTTTAGCCACCTTTCTCTAAACCGCTGACCTTTCCAAAGGTCTGCCACCGTCCAGTTGTCCACACAGAGACACACACAGAGCGACTGACCGGCCGACTGTACTGAAGCAGCAGATGGATTCAGTCTGTGACTGCGTCTGTGACTGCGTCTGTGCTGCAGCTCCTATCAGTCTGTGTGTGGAGAGGAGGACGAAGGACTCTTGACGTGAGCGTCCTGTTTCTGTCTCATCATAATTACACTCCACGATAACAACAGCCTTCAGCGCTTCACTCCAGAACCACTTCACCGGGGGTTTCTCCGACATGACAGGGGTTTCGGAGAACAGTAGGAGCGTTCTTATTTTTAGGTTTGTTGGACGATTTGTCGAATTAAAAAGTCAGTTTGGTAAAGTGTCAGTTTAACAGATAATAATGGTTCGAGTTTCCAACCATTTCTCAAAAATGTCTGAATATCTCACGTCTGGATTATCTTTCTTTTCAGGTGGTTTTAATTTTTTTTTTCACCATGGACGTAGAGAAAACCAAAGTTAAATGCATCAAATATATAATTTAATCAACACATATATAACATCAATATATATCTTTATTGTATATGATGCACAAATTATTAATAATAAATTGTACTTTATATGAAAGTGATAAATATAAATACTAGACTAACATAAATATAACACATGCAAATCAAATTTTTTTTTTTTTTTTTTTGGTCCAGTAAGTAATGATTCATCGCCCTGGTACTGGTCCCCGGCCCAGTGTTTGGGGACCCCAACTCTAATACCAAGAATTAAACTGAAATTATAATATAGTGAATGATTGGAAACCTGAAAAGTTGGTAACGTTAGCCACATGCTAGCTGTTGGTTTTTATTATTTTTTTTATTCCTGAAGCATTCCGTCAGAATGTGACAAAATTAGCATTTTATTTGATCTCAGATGATCTGGTTCATTTGAATATTCCTCATCTCAGCTCACACAGATGTACAGTAGACAGTACAGACGGGGACCAGCTGTTTCCAGAACCTGTGTGTACTGTATCTGTGACGCTAAAAACCATTTAGGGTCTGAAAATAAAAGCCGGGGGGGGGGGGGGGGGGTATTATGGCCTTTGCACCAAGCAGAGAGGCCCCAATGAGTGGTTTATTCCTGTAATAACAAGCTAACCCTGTCTCCCTTGTTTGGCTCAGGGACCAGCTGCTACACTGGTACAGATCTGTTAGCATACGGCGCAGTGAAAATGATTCTTTTGGAAACTCAGTGGGATCAGTCTGGTTCTTTTCTGCCGCTATTGATTTTCCTTCCTGGTGAATTTACCAGAGAGATTTGAGCGGCTCTGGCAGATTACCAGAAGATTTGTGAAGAAAGAAAATTTGAAGTATGAAGAAACACTCCATCCTTCCAGTCGAAGCACGCTAATCGCTTGTCTCTTTCGTTTTCGTTTTCGCGGCCTGACTCCGACTCTCCTCCAGCAGATATCAGGAGGCACGCCGCAGCATTTTATTGATGCATAATTGCCGAAGTGCATGCGCAGTCACAGTAATGATAGTGTCTCTTTAGCAACATGATCATGGTGATTTAAGAGGAGATCACAAATTGCAAATTTATATTTACTGCTACATTGTGGGGACTTTGTTTCTACTACTTTGGAAAAACCAGTAATGGTTTCGCTCAAGGGCAAATAGAGGAAGTGGTGGAGTCCTGCGCCTGTCAACCCCAGGACTCTTCTGGAGTGTTTGTGTGTTTAAAGCGGTGACCTTCAGGTCACCAGCGACTATCTTTAACCTCCAGGCTCCGGCTGCCTCCGTTGTGAAAGCGGCTCGTTTACATTAGCAACATCGTTAAGAGCTATTCTTAGCCGTAAGAAGGTAAACGGCAAGAGGCAAAAAAAACACTTCAAGTACCCAACGCGGGCCCCTCCCCTCTCTCCCCCCTCGACTCCCCCCACTCCCTTTTTCAGCCTTCAGTGAGACAAACAGAAGAGGCTCAGATGTAAGTGACACATAACCACCGCGCGGTCAAAGTAGCACGGCGGCGTCACTGAACTGCATTCCTCACCGGGGCAGTTATCGCTCTGACCTGACCAGCAGGTAGTTTTCCTGTCACTCACTCACACACACACACACACACACACACAGTCCTTGGATACACTATGTAGGTCAAAGAGTCACTGACAGGCAAAGGCAACACTCGGTGTGTGTATAAACAAACACGCACACAGACGCTAGCACCTCAGTCACGCACATACGCATCGCGCTTCGCCAACAAACGCACAAACTAATCCTACAGCAGGCGATTTAGACTCCAATCAGAGAAAACGGATTACGCTCGGTGTGA